CCCCCCCCTCAACCACCATTTGCTCTATTAGCCACACCAGTGCACATAGCAGTCATATCAGTTACACACGGGTGGACTGCAGATAGCCTCTCCCAGCCCAAAATCCCCCAAGGTACAACCCCCCCCTCAAACACACACACACACACACTTTCCTGCTTTCTCTAAACGTTTTTTTTTGGCATATAATGATGGGAATGTGTGTGCGTTTATTCGAAAGTGTGTTTATATTAGAGCTACACAATTTAAATGGTAATTTGGACCAATTAAATGTATTGTCATTGTAGAAGGGAATTTAAAAGCAGTCCTGTCAGTGCATATCTACATATCCACAACAACACAATAAATAATTAAAATATTTACATGTATCTATCCACTTGTATGTGTAAAATGTATATATGTGAAGATGTGTGACTGAAGCATTGTGGAGCTACAGAGACATTTCATACACCCCAAAAAATCTATAAAAGTTGTTTTTGCAGTTTCTCTGGCTTTGTTTTACAGGATATGAAGCCTTAAAATGTCAAATATTGACTGGGGTTACAACTTTTAAATGTAAATATAATCTGGTTTCCTTACTGTTTTTTGACTGATGTTCAGACAATAAAAGACCTTGTGCAGCCTCTAAAACTTGGTATCACATTCTCTTTGAGCATTTTTTACTCTAATACAAATATATAAGTATATAAACATATAAGTAAATAAGCAACAATGTGAATTCAAGTTGGGAGAAGAAGCAACCTTAGGTATTATTTACTAAGATTTTAACATTTGATTACTCAGTTAATCATCAGGACTGTGTGGGTGTTTGATTGACAGCGGCCAGGCAACACAAACAAAACAACCCACGACTGTCACCAAACACGGCTGAATCGTGACGAGCGACAGAAGTACATCATCTCTCAGATCAAAACTGAAGTACAGACATGTCTCCTGGGAAATAACCCAAAATGTTCCAAAAAACTGTTTGTGCTATGGGGACATTTGATTCAAGATTTAAAGGATTTATTGTCATTTGAAAAATAGCTAATGTCTAGATGTTGGCGGTGGAAAAATGTAAAAGACTGACTTCTCCACCAGTGCAACATACATTACATTACATGACATTACATTACACGTCACTTGTTAGACGCTCTTATCCAAAGTGACTTACATACATTCAGTACTGTTGGCAATCCCCACAGGAGCAATTTGGGGTGAAGTGTCTCAGGGACACAACGACATGCTGACTGCATTGGGACTAGAACTTGCTACCCCATGATTCGAAGTTCAGCGCACCTACCACTGAGCCACAGCCTCAGTATACTTTGGACATAATGGACGTATGTGCAATCGAGAAGGTTAAATAGGGAAAGTGCATTATGTGTAAATAGGTATGGACACAATAGGGATATGTGCAATTTGACGGACACTATGCATAGGTGCAATAGGGAAAGTGCAATATTGATTTGTGTATGAATACAGTAGGGAAGGTGCAATATTTGATTTATGTATAACAGTGGCGAGCTGTGACTTTTATACCTAGGCCCTCTGACCCCCACCCCTTCCCTCGAGTTATTACGTCACAGCGTATACTTCAGCGGAATATTAGCAGCTAA